GAGTGTGGGGGGGGTGGAACCCCCGGGCCCCCCCGGCCTCCTGGGCTCCCCCCTGCTCCTCTCCAAGCCGCTGCCCCCATGCAGCCGCTGCGACAAGGTAAGGCCCCCTCCCCGCCCAGGGACGGCCTGAGCCCCTCGCCCTCCGGCTGCCCCCCCCCGACCTCCTGGGGCTGCTTGGAGGCCCTGCCCCTGGGAACTGGCCGCAGAACCCAGCCCAGCTCGCTTCGCCTGCCAGCCCAGGCCCGATCAGAGCCGGCACCCGTCCCATCTCCCCTCCCCCGAGCCAGCCCCTGCCCTGGGCCGGGGAGGCGCATGTACCCCTCTCTGGGAGAGGCCCCGTGTCCCATCCCCTGCAGCACACAGCTGAGTGCAGCTCCGGCGCTGCCCTGGGGCGCATCTAACCCGGCGGCCCCGTCCCGCGCATGTACCCCTCTCTGGGAGAGGCCCCGTGTCCCATCCCCTGCAGCACACAGCTGAGTGCAGCTCCGGCGCTGCCCTGGGGCGCATCTAACCCGGCGGCCCCGTCCCGCCCTGGCTGTGCCGCCCTGCACATGGGGCAGAGGGGGCCCCCGCTGGGGCCCAGCCCAGCCCCTCAGCTTAACACGGCCCCTGCTGTGGCCCCGTCAGAGCCAAGGCAGCAGAAGCCTGTCACTGCACAGGCCGGTTCTGCCCCCGTCCCCGAGCGCAGTGGCCCCAGCTCTGCTCGCTCGCAGGGATCCGGCTCGGGGCTGAGCGCTGTGCCCAGGTGCTGGCCCCCAGAAGTGGCATGAGTGTGGGGCAGGTCTCAGTGCGGCCGGATCATCCCAGCCCCTTTCGCCAGCTCCCCCAGGCTGTAGCCGTTGGGGGGCTACACCCCTCTGAGGCCGGGGGCTGCAGGCAGGGCACACAGCCGGGAAGGCTCTCTGGGCCAGGCCCAAGTGGCAGCCAGTGGGAGACCTGGATGAGTTCTTCTGCCTCCGGCTCCGTGCCTCAGTTTACCCTCCCCCCATGTCTGCTTAGGGTGTGAGCAGGGAGTGCACACTCTGCAGGGCCCAGTGTGAGGGTGGCTTTGTCCCGATCGGGGGCTCTAGGAGATCACAAGATTGTGATGGAAATTCTCCGTGTGGTTGGAGGGGGCTGGTAGGTTACCAAGCCCAGTCCCGGCCAGGGGCTCCCCAGTGGGAGATTGTGGGAGGGGTCCAGTGTTGGGTGGCTGCAGGTGACATAGGCTGACCCTGCCAGGTGTCCGGGTGCGGGGGGCTGGGCTGGGTCACTGCTGTGATGAGTCTGGGGAGCTCTCAGCCTGCCCCACCAGCAATTCCAGCCTGCCTGTCTGCAGCAGGCTCCCCATGTTGACCCCCCCTCTCCCACTCAGGGCCTCCCTGCAGTCCAGAGCCCAGGCAGACACCTGAAATGCTCAACACTCTACATGACCCTGCCAGGTGTCCGGGTGCGGGGGGCTGGGCTGGGTCACTGCTGTGATGAGTCTGGGGAGCTCTCAGCCTGCCCCACCAGCAATTCCAGCCTGCCTGTCTGCAGCAGGCTCCCCATGTTGACCCCCCCTCTCCCACTCAGGGCCTCCCTGCAGTCCAGAGCCCAGGCAGACACCTGAAATGCTCAACACTCTACAGCCAGCTGGCCCCATGGGGGATGTGTCCCGGCCTGCCCCTCCCTGCCTGGGCAAAGGGAAGCCAGAGGTGCGTGAGGCCTGAGGGGGGTGATGCACCAGTGGGGGCTGGGTCGTTTGCAGCAGTGGGGGACTTGGGGGAGCTGTGGGTGGAGCAAGGGGGGGCTGGCAGGAGCCATGGGGTGGGGCATATGGGGAGGTGCTGGGGGTCACTGACAGGTCTCCCTGCAGGTGAGGAGCTTCCCCTGCCGGATCTGCGGGAAGCAGTTCAAGCGCTCGTCCACGCTCTCCACCCACCTGCTCATCCACTCGGACACGCGCCCCTTCCCCTGCCCCTTCTGCGGGAAGCGCTTCCACCAAAAATCCGACATGAAGAAACACACCTTCATCCACACAGGTGGGGCAGCCCCTCGGACCACCCAGGCATGCAGGGACTCCACAGCTGGGGGGCAGGGCTGGGGGTCGGAATTGAGGGGCACCGGGCGCGCTGGGGGCAGGGGCTGGGGGTCGGGATTCGGGGGCACCGGGCGCGCTGCGGGCAGTGGGGAGCAGGACCTCGGCGCAGAAGCCTCTCCGGGGCTGTGTCTACACTCGCAGTTTCTTGCGCACGTGCGGCCGTTCTTGTGCAAGAATCTGCAGCGCGCCCACACTGCCCGCCCCTCGCACAAGGACATTTACAGCACGGCGTGGGAAGGGGGCTCCTTGCACAAGAGCTTCGCTCTTTCCCGCCCGGTGCGAGCCCCCTGGCGCAGGGCAGTGTGGGCGCAGCAGGGATTTCTTGCGCGAGAGCCCAGCGCGCACGTGGCAGTGGGGACGTTTCTTGCGCAAGAAGCCGGGCGTGTAGACATCGCCCTGGTGTATTTGCCTCCATCCTTGTCCTGGACAAACTGGTCCCTCCCTGCAGGTCTGGTCCGGTCGCCGGCCACCAGCAACGCTGTGGAGCAACAGCACCACCTGGGGTCTGGCTCGGGGAAGGGCAGGAAAAGGGGGTCACAGCTGCACTCTGCCCCCCCCGCCTGCTCATTAGAGCCACACTGCAGCCCAGGCAGCAAGCAGGCTGTGCTGGGTCCGTGGCTGGCCGGGTAGTTGGGGCCCACAAGCTGGTGGCTGGCTGAGCAGGTGGGGCCCACAGGCTGGTGGCTGTTTAGGTAGTTGGGACCCACAGGCCGGTGGCTGGCCAGGCAGGGGGGGGGGACGTTCCTGCGGCTGGCTGGGTGGGGTCCACAGGCCGGTGGCTGGCCAGGCAGGGGGGGGGGACGTTCCTGCGGCTGGCTGGGTGGGGTCCACAGGCCGGTGGCTGGCCAGGCAGGGGGGGGGGACGTTCCTGCGGCTGGCTGGGTGGGGTCCACAGGCCGGTGGCTGGCCAGGCAGGGGGGGGGGACGTTCCTGCGGCTGGCTGGGTGGGGTCCACAGGCCGGTGGCTGGCCAGGCAGGGGGGGGGGACGTTCCTGCGGCTGGCTGGGTGGGGTCCACAGGCCGGTGGCTGGCCAGGCAGGGGGGGGGGACGTTCCTGCGGCTGGCTGGGTGGGGTCCACAGGCCGGTGGCTGGCCAGGCAGGGGGGGGGGACGTTCCTGCGGCTGGCTGGGGGGGGCCCACAGACCGGTGGCTGGCCAGGCAGGTGGGGGGTACGTTCCTGTGGCTGGCTGGGTGGCAGGGCCCTGCTACTCCAGAGTCTCTCCAGTTGCATGGGACCGTGGCTGAGCGCTGGGGCTCCCTGCTGAGCCCTGGCTGTTTGTTCCTCTAGGGGGCGAGGGGGCCCAGCCCCTCCTGCAGCCTCCCCAACTGCTCTCTCCTGCAGGCGAGAAGCCTCACAAGTGCCAGGTGTGCGGCAAAGCCTTCAGCCAGAGCTCCAACCTCATCACCCACAGCCGCAAGCACTCGGGCCACAAGCCCTTCGCCTGCTCCCTGTGCCCCAAGGGCTTCCAGCGCAAAGTGGACCTGCGGCGCCACCAGGAGACCCACGGGCTCTTCCACAGCCCCGGGGGCAGCCAAGCGCTGGGCGCCCTCTGCTAGGGGCTGGCTGAGGCCTGGGACGCCTGGTCTGCGGGGAGACGCCGTGAGGAGAAACCCCAGAACTGAGGGGGCTTGAGGCTCAGCCCCCGGCCCCAGGGCTGGCAGGTGCTGCTGGGACCTGCAGCCCCCAGGCGCCAGCGCCGGCAGGAGGACGCGGGTGCCAGGCTGAGCCTGGATGGGCGGGCGCCGTGGATCGGGCAGGGCATTGCTGCGGTGAAGGGGAAGGCCT